TGTCTTGATAATGAAGAACAGGCTTGCATTTTTTGAAAGTCTGCAGTGAGGTTTTTGGATTAGTTTTTGGGGGGATTTTGTAGTAAAACACGAGACAGAAATGACTCAGTCAGCACAGAAAAGGATCGTGTCAGCTCTTACGGTAACAATATTGGAGTCAGGAGGGTTTTTTTGTGTGTGTGTGATAAACAAAGTAGGATCCCAGTTTCTCCTTAAGTGTGACATGCACCAGCCTTATTTAAAGGGTCAGTTCACCTAAATACCAAGAATATTTTCTCATGCATAGGTCAACTCCTTATTAGAAGATCTGAGATAAAGTCAAGGCCCTTGGTTCAAACTACCTCCAATACATTTTCGAGACATAATTGATCTTTTTAAACGTCTCCCCAGAACAGCGATTGCCCAATCATAGCTTAGCAATCGTAACTATGCGCAGCAGGTCTGCCAAGCTTTGGATTTCTCCACATGTTGAAGTGGTGTGCATGGGGCAAGAGTTTTGAAGAGTTGCGTCTTTCTTTTTTTTTTTTTTTTTTGGCTTTCAAAAACCAAAAATGCATCTCAAGGAGAGGATTAAACATCTGCAAACATTTCTGTGAACAGTTGACTAGCTTATGACCTTTAATAGAAGCCGAGCATTACTTCAAAGGCCCAGGAGCATTTCATTAGCTAACTATATTTGTTTTTGGGATTACAGGTTATGTTAACAAGCACTGTTCATGAGTTGTACATCCACTGTGTTGTATTTCCTAAGTGTGTGTGGAAGCTGGTCCAGGATGCCATCAGAGTTTAGGCTAATGTTAGCTGCTCTTTGCTGGAGTTTACCTGAGATAGTGTTGCGTTTGTCAAACACATCGGTTAGTGCAAAATTAAAAAAACATACTTTTTAAAAATTTAAGAATCAACCAACTCATGCTGCTAACATTAGCTTTCTTAGCTTGCTAACAACAGCTGATAAAACCGGCTTATGTTACTTTTGTCATTCCAGCCGATAAAATCAACAGTCGCCGGCTGGTTAGTTATCTATAAATTCCCTGTACAGTTGTCATGAACAGGGAATTTAGCTTTGGAATTAAGAGGCCATAACAGTTTTTTCCCCGAGCTGTAAACATGTTTATTTCTGCTATAAAGTTTTGCATTTTAATATGGGGCCTTATAGAGATTGACTCACTTCTGCAGCCAGCCTCAAGTGGCCGTTTGAAGGACTGCAGTTTTTGTTTAAAACCTTGAAAACTTAGCCTCAGTTATCTCTGAGCGGGGGTCCCGTCCTGCGTCTGCACGTCCCTGCAGACCCTCGCAGGTTAATCACTGGCTCTCCAGGGTCCAGATGGCTGAGCTAGGGACAGATTTTTAATTACCACGCTCTGATTTCACACCCTGGGCATCATAGAGGACAGAACACTCCCTGCTTGGCCGCCTTAATTTCTCTCTTTGTATAGAGTATAAAAAAAGCAGGATGATAAGGTGTGCACTACAGTAAGAGAAAGGGGGAGAAAATGGGGAGGGAGGGCCGAGCTGAGAGTGAGCGTGTGTGGGAGTGCGCGAGAGATCATCACACTCGACAGGCCAGGAATTATATTTTCCTCACCAGGATGTTTCCTGTGGCGCTTAATCACCCTTTAAGTCAGCGACACCCAGAGTCGAGCAGCAGCTATAATCACATCTGTGGAGGGCCTCGTCACGAACACAGACCCCCCGAAAACACAGAGGAAGGGGTTCAAAACAGCTCCAAATGGCAGGGGAAGGATGACGGAGGGGGTCAGATTGATTCGGTGGTGTTAGCAGCAGGACGGAGCGTGCTGGGGGTGTTTCGGTCCCATCACTGAACACCTGTCCGCCACTGAGGGAGGGATGGAAAGCAGAAGGCTAGAACACAGGAGAGAAATGGATCACCAGTCACGTCCCATAATGCATCTCGCTGTTAGGTTTTTTCTTTTTTTTACTTCAGTACAGTTCAGTTCAAGATGCTTTACTAGCATAAAAGTAGAGAACAATATTGCTAAAGCATTAAGATAAAGAACAACTCTGTCTCTCATCCCCTGGTCTCGCTGCTGCTCTGCAACATAAATATGATGACACAAACGGTTCACAGGGAAATCAAATTCAGCTTTTTTCTTTTTTAAGAACAGTCGGCTTTCTTGCCTTTTTTGCAGCATACAGTAAACTGATCAAAGAGCAGAAAGTAGACAGTGAAAGATGTAAGAGTGCAGTCAGGACTGCAGCACTGACACTTTTTCAAATATCACAATGCTAATATTTAAAGCTTCATCTTCTCAGAACAACAAGAGGATGTGAAGACTGCAGTAATCAAAAGACAAGATGGATCATAATGGATTAACTACTCCATTGTTAGGAACCCTTAACATAAGAATAATGTTTCCTTATGTGCATTTACTTGAGTTATATAATCCACCGAACACATTTCCACTTGCTAATAGGTAACTAACTAAATCAATAAATTCATTAAACTTCAGCACAACACCCCAATATTATAAAACTTTTGCCTTTACTTATCTCACACTACAACTACTTCCAAACCAGCAGCTCACTTTTCCTGGAAACTCTCAGATGTTATTGTGAGCGTTGATGAGTGACGAGCCGGATGTGAGAGAAACACTTGCTCTGAGCAAATAAAACCTGACACCTGTCATGTGACTCCGACTCTGTTTGCCATCTTTCGGCAGGAAAGTAACATCAATAAGAGTGATTAGTTGTAACTGGGTCTTACACATTCACTGCCTATAAAAACTCCAGCAGTGTCTTTAAAATATTATAAGAAGTGATGCAGGAATGTGTGAGTTTCCTACAAAGTGTGGTTGATATAAGAAGAGTTTATTCTAAACTGTCAGGTACCAAAGGCGGACTGGCCACCCCATTATCCTTCCCTCTTCCAGTCCGCACTGACTTTCAGAGGCTGTAGTGGGCTCCGTTTTAAAGCTAGAGTGAATATTGTGCTAACATGTTGGGAAGGGGGGTAAATAACGCTATGGAACGGCCATTTTCAAAGGGGTCTCTTGACCTCTGACCTCACAATATCTGAATGAAAATGTGTTCTATGGATTCCCCTTTGCAGACACGACCACTTAATGTTAATCCCGTGCAGTTTTGGGGCAAAAAACATGCAGTATAAAGCAGCATATGTGGTATAAATGTGTGCATACTGGGGTGTGGAATTTCATTAATTGGGAATGTCTGGAAAGCTGAGACACATACTTACATACCCCCAGTCTGGAAACGGCCCTGCATCAAACATCTGGTTAGATTTATAATCTTATTTACTCATTTATTGATCAGATAGTTCATGATTTAAATAAAAAAATGTGCCACTTACAGACTATTTTATGCATGTTATTAGACATTAAACATTTGAGAACTTTTATTTATTGTCAATAAATATAGAAAAGAAATGTTTCTCATAGTAATGGTACACAAATCTGAATTTAATATTAATTAAGAGTTTAAGAATAAGTGCACTAATACAAATGATGATACAGTTTGCATAAAAGTTTAGATTAATGGCGTCAGTGAATCAGGAGAGTTGACAGAACAATACAGTAAGATCTCCTGCTCGTTCTTGGTTCGTTTTTTAAACTCTAAGCAGTTTCAGCATTGAATACTCTGGCTCAGTACTTCGGCCGCTGTTGGCGAGGTTTTGTTAATGGATGCCTTACTGTATCGTTGCTTTAACGTTGCACGCTGCCATGATTTACGATGGGTGGAATTCCCTTCCTCTGCAGATCTGCTCATGCAGGGTAATTGGCCCATTTATCAGAAGCAGCAGAAAACCGAGCTGCAGAGTCACAGATGCATTAAGAATTATTCTCTTGGACCAGAGAAAGGGAGAAGAAGAGGAGGAGACGTGAATGGGTCCAAGCACCAACTGAAGGTTAACTTAAAGGAACCGTTCGACATAGTTGGGAAACATACTTGATTGCACTTTTTGCACAGAAGTTGGAGGATTGGCACCACTCTCATGTTTCTCAGTGCAAAATGAAGACGGAGCCAGTAGCCGGTTAACTTAGCTTAGCATAAAGACTGTCCAAAGATAATGTAATCGATGTACCACCACCTTTAAAGCTCACCAGTTAACACTTTACATCTTGTTTGTTTAATCTGTACAATCTGTCTCCTGGCTGTAGCATAATATATTACAGGCAGATATGAGACTGTTTTTTTGTATTATTCATTAAAATCAAAGGCAACTTGTTCCAGTGAGAATAAAATGTAGAAAAATATTGTAGTTTGGTGACGGATGGCTCAACATTTTGGAGGAGGAGCAGGAAACTACAATGATTGGTCAAATTTGCAGAAAACCTGTGCTGATTGGCAGGTTGCAAAGTTGCACAGAAATCACAGGGTTGATTGAATTGTTGCAATTGCGACTTCCTGGAGCAACCGATAAGCTACTTCCTTTAAGAGCAGAACTAAGATAATGATAAGGGGTTTTTGTTCTTACTATTGCCAATTACTGATTTCAAAGTCACTATTAAGGGCCAGGAAACAGTCCCACAGATAACCTCCCTATGACACCACAACTTGACCTTTTCACACGTCGGTTTCTGTGGGAAAAACAAGATATAACATGTTAATGTGTGAGCTATAGACGTGCTTGTAGGTGGATTTTAGTACCTTCAGACAGAGCCTGGCCAGCTGTTTCCCGCTGTTTCCAGTCTTTGTAGCCTCATATTAAGCGGACAGATATGAGAGTGGCATCAGTCTTCTTATCTCACTCTCAGCACAAAAGCAAATAAGGCACATTTTGAGCTCTTATGTTTCACATGCACCTCCCTCTGTAGTTTGTTGTGGTGTTTCTCCCCCTCAGTGGAGTTTGTAAGAGCGAGCTGTGACATTCTGACACACAGTGACCAGAGGACAGCGACTACACACACACACACACACACACACACACAACCCTCGCCGTAATTTATCTGGAATGTGCAGAGCTTCTGCCTCTGATCGGCCTCTGATTCTCACTCTCTTCATCTCTTTTTCTCTATTTGCAGAGAGCGAGGCAGACGCACACTGCTGACTGAACTGCAGGCAGACACTGGGGCAGAGTGCGGAGGAGTAAGCAGACAAGGTAAGTCAAGACAAAAGGAGGAGGCACTGTAGCATGTTAACATCAGCCAGTTTCATAACATTACAGCATGAGTTGGTCACAGCCCTCAGTCTGCTCGGTGCAAACTGAGCAGTAAAGGAGAGTTTTTGCACTACAGAGTAACAACTACACAGTTAAGTCCTGCGTCCATCTGAGAGCATTATTTATCAGAGCCTGTTGCGATGTCACAGTTATCAGCATGTTCACACCGTGTGCAACATCTCAGGATGGTATTTTGGGCAGCTGACAGATAGGAAGGAAGGCAGCACAAGAGGTTTCATGATATACAGATGAGCAGAGTACAAATTATGTCCTGAAACAGAACATACGACAGCCGGGAAATCTCCCAAAGCCAAAAAATATCAAGACAGGAAACAGCTTTGTTCAGTAAATCTTCTTCGTTGCCTTCAAGATACGATCTACTGCTATTAGAGTCGACACATGCATGGGCATCCTCTACGCGTCACCCCTCCCTCCCCAGATATGAAAATGTCAGGGTGGCATTTTCACGCGCTCCACCAACAATAAGAGGGACAATGACTTTGTAGACACAGTGACTCTGCTTTTATTAACTGCTTTTTTAAATATATTTTGCAGCAAGTTTTGAAATTCTATGTGAATCCAAACACAACATTAGGTTCATCTTTTGGGCATTTTGTAGGCATGCTGGCAGCTCTGGGTATCACAATGTCAGTCAGTTAGCATGCTAACATGCTAAAATAAGATGGTGAACACGGTAACCATTATATCTGCTGAACATCTGCAAGTCAACATCGGCATTGTGAGGATGTTGGGCATGTTCAAAGTCAACGCCACAGTACAGCCGCCCACAGCTGCTAGTAGCTCTCCACGTTTCTCCTTTATTTTCATGGACTTTAGTTGGTACGGCAAATTGTTTCATGTTACCAACTACTGGGCAAACTCTCCAAAGGCACGAGAGGTAACCTCATTAAAACTTGGTGTATCTTTCCTTCCATTTGTAGCCCATTGAGATTGATTGATTGATTTAAACATACAAAATGTAATTTCTGCCTCTACTGGGTAAAACAATAACATGAAGTCAAACAACGTTTTGAAGTAGCGTGGGATCATGGGAGTTACCACCATTGCCAAATGGTTAAAAACACACAACTCAACAACATATAGAACATTGATCTAGTGTTTTTAGACATTTTAATGTAGAAACGTTACATAGTATATCTTTAAAACATCATCTCTCCCTGTCAGTTCCACTCAAACCAGGCTATTGTGTCACAGTGTCTGAGTATTTTCTGTACTGAACGGAGCTCCACTTTTCCGTAGACATCCCAGAAACCTTAAACAGTGACATGTCACCCTATCAATAGTCTGCTGATACGCTGGCCCGCTTTGACGTCTCCCCTGAGTGTTGAAACAATATTATGGCCTCGATATGAAAGACGCCTAATTTCTACTTGTCAATCACACCTTTGTAGTAACTCTCTGGCCTATTTTTATTTTGGTGAGAGAAAGAGTCCCAAGATATTTGTACATAACATCAGTCATTATTAACCTGACATACTAAACAAAATACACTCGACAACTTGCAGGATTTCCACAAAGGGACACAGATTTTTGTATTTTAACCCCCTAAAAATACCAATAAGATGGTCCCAGGAATCCATTGAGGTAAAGAAAGTCTGGATTTACACAGTTACAAAACTGTATATAGTAAAGTAAAGAGTTCTGTCTAGACCCGCTCTATTTGAAAAGTGTCCTGAGATAACTTCTGTTATGAATTGGCGCTATACAAATAAAATTGAATTGAATTGAATTGAATTAATTATTGTCCATGTGACCCTAATTCTGCTTCAAACACTCTCATTAAAAAGAATCCAACATTTTGATTCCTTTCATTACTGACAGCAATAACAGCACGATAGATTTAGTTTTCAGACAGTTTGTGACCCTAAAAGGTGACGCACTCGTCAGAGCGAGAACATCCAGGACCCCTCAGCTGCAGTGACTATTAAACACAATGTTTATGTTACACTGTTAATACTCTGCAGTCCACTGCAGGTTGTGCTCGTGAATCTTCTTCAGATTGTCATTTGGTTTGAGATTTACCAGCCTGGTTCAGAGGAAGCCTTAAGTCTGTTTGTGTGTCACTTAAACTTGTATTTTAAAACTATTTCCACTGCTTCATCAAGTGCAACTGTTCATCTTTAAGATCAGATTCAGCGTAGTCATTGCACACAGTAACTATACAAAATACACTACAGATTAGATTTGTTTTCTTCTTCCTACTGTCATTCAATCCAATCCTTGAATCCAAAGTTTATTATTTATGTACTAGCGCCCTTCATGTTACCCTCTGCTGGTCTGCTGCATTTAGTACGTTGCCAGGTTTGTGTTCATTGCTCTAGAAATCACTCGATTATGTTTCAAAATGAAAAATGCAAGTATTTAATAAAGAAATGTCGAGGCCTTTCAAGTCATGAATATCAAGTTAAGTTTTTAGTTTTCTTTGGGGATCTAGATCCACCTGGGTGTTATTAATGTTAGCTGTATTTGTAGGAGAGTTGTGAGTATCGCTGTCTCGTCCTTTCTTCATGTGCAACAACATATCTAATCATAGGTACATTGCTGAGTTGTTGTTCACACCATATCATGGTATTTGTCGTGGCCTCCAGAATCGCTTACAAAACCTTTAAAGTCATTAAAGGTTTTGATTTTTTAAGTGGAAATGCCCAAAATGATCTGGTTCTAAAATGTTTTGCTCCCTTAAATTAAACATTTAGTTGAAGACCCTGTGCACTGAGGACGTGTGATTTTCTGACACGTCAGATTACACAATTAATTGATTAATCGAAAAAAATCATCAAATGACTAACTAGTAGTGACATAATCATTAACTGCACTGGACTCACTTTCACAATCATCTGTAGGAGTCGGTGACCCCAACAGAAAACCAAAGATTAAAAAACCAGGTATCCATCACATTTCTCATTTGTTCCCTCTGGCAGGCAGTCAAACACTAATAGATCTCACGTGAAGCAGACAAACTGTAACCGGTGACCCTGTGCAGGTTTTAATTGATGATCAGGCCATCGTGGGGTTCAGTGGTGTGACAGCGGAGATTCCTGCAGCAGTTTCGGCGGCCTGGTGAGCAGGTGTGCCGCCGTGGGCCATCGATATTCACGCTCAGCTCCAGCACCTCGCTGAGATCAGTCTTAACCCCACACTGAGTCATACCACAGTGCATACAGAGGGATGACGGAGGGTGGGGGGGGGGGATTGATCACACACTAAGGATGGCGCTGTTTTAGAGCGCTCGCAGCTTGATCCATTTAATCAAAGAGGTTATAAAAGACAGGGGAGCATCTGAGGACAAGGAAGTGAATGAAAGTGTGCACCGATAGAGACAAATTAAAGGAAAAACCTGAATAAACTGGTGGATAAATATCAAATACAGGCCTCACTGAATGGTTGGATGGAAACAACATGAATTATAAGCATTTACTGGATCTCAACCCCAATTGAAGCTATTATCTAAACACAAAGCTGTTCCTAAGACTTCTATGTTGTAGTTTCCATTCATTATTCATCCATCTGCATCACATATACACTCTCAGGGTTGGGATTGTTACTTTAACAATGTCATCCGATACAATTAATAATTACTTGTTAAAGAATGTAGTCAGTAAACAAATCCAAGCATCGTGATGTAAAAGTAACTTGATCACTTCCTGTTACTTTTGAACACCAAATATGCAAATGAAGACACATTTAGATGATTTTTATGTATTCTATAAGACAACACAACCATGAAACCGTAGAAAAGTAATTTTTTTAAAGTAAAAATTTGTCCTCTGCGCAGAAAACGTTTACAAAATATTACAAAATAATGGTGATTTTTTTACCCAGTTAAAGTATTTTCTTACAAGAGGCAGTGATAACGAAGATCAGCTGTGGTTTGATTCGAGACCAGAGTGCTGTCTCGTTAAAAACACGTATTGTTCTTTATTTTAAAATCCGGCTCATAGTCCCTATTCTTACTAAATGTAACTGTAATCTGATGACGTCTCTTTTTTTCTCTAACTGTAATGGATTACCTACTCCACAAGCCTGCACACTGTGCACTAATCTGCATAAGTAAACTATTTGGGCTGGTTAATATCCAGTAAATGAATGTACATGCTGTAAACTCGTGTCATTGATTATCTTTTAGACAAACACGTGTGAAACCAACATCTGTCGACCTTTAAAAGCTTCTGCCAGTTTTGACTTTGGAAGCTTAAAGAGAAATGTTTCTCCAGAGATTCAACATTTTATTTGTTTTCCAAGACGTTCCACAAACATGTAAATTATGTTACTACAGTACACGATCCAGTACTCATTCACTCCCAGTGGCCATTTTAAATCTCTATTATGTGACCTTTTTTTAAGAATCTTTGTTTTTACTACTTCTTTGCCGACTGTGGATGTGACTGCAGGAACGATTCTTGTGATTCTTCAATTTCCATCAGGCATTGTGTTGTGTGACAGGAGGCTCACCTCCTACCGCCGTCCACTTTACAGGCGAGGTGCAGTTCCCGTGTCCATCAGCATCACACTCAAGCATCAAGACAACTGAGTGCACATATTTACTTTGAGTATTTAATTGTGTCACTTTTTCTGTGTGAACATAAGACTCAAAGCCTGGTTAGCATCAGTTTGTTGTACTGAAGGAGGAAACAGTTTAATGTTTTTGACCATAATGATAAATAAGCTTTGTTTCAGAAATATTGATCAGTTAGAACAGAGGTTTCCAACCTGGGGGTGTCACCAAAGCTTCATGGGGGCTCACAAAGCCTTTATTTTAAGGGATGTAAGAAAACTGAAAAAAAATACACAGTAGGCCTATATTTATAATAGCACCAAGGACAAGAAAACACTGAATTTGTCAAAAAAGAATCCTATTAGGTCTGTATTATTATTAAAAATTAGAAAAAGACAAGACAAGACAAGACAGGCAAAGAATTGTATAAAAGTCCCCTTTTATACAACAGGGAAAAATCTGCTCAAAATTCTCAAAAAATCACGTATTTTACACAAATTTCTTGCAGTTATCACTATTTGGGTTAATTGTAAAGATTTGTTATAATAAGTTTACTAAATGACAGTAAATGCATAAATACAGCTTTTTTTAATGGACTATGTTAACACCAGTGATAAAAGAGAGCGTTACAGTAACAGAAATGCAAATAAAGCGTTACTGGAGCTGTGTAACATCTGCTGCCTGCGAGGTGACCTGTCTTACCTCGGATCAAAGACAAACCACATCATTATATTGATTTATCGTCGTTCACATGACACAGAGGGTTGACACTGCGCCCTTGTGTGACACGGTGACAAAGAAGTGTCGATGAGTATGAGCGGGCGTTAAGAAAACCACCGTTATCAGTACAAAATTAGAGTTTTCTTTATTTCTGAAACCTGTAATCTTAGTTATCTGTTTATCTATTTTGAATATAGAGCAAAGCACTGCCCCCTCACTCTCCTCCCACCTTCCCTGCCTCCCCCTCACTGTCATGGGCTGCCTAGCAACTGACACCATAAATAATATGCCTGTGTCTGTGGCGTGTGTGTGTTCGTAGGCATGTGATAATAGACAGGATATCTGTTACTAGCACTCCTCCTTTGCATGCCTGCTTGTACTACAGTGCTCGTCTCCATCAGTGGCACACTCCTGGTGAACTGCAATGTCTGGGGTGTTTGAATCTCTGTCTCTTCCACGTAGGCAGAGGACACGAGACCTGACTGACAGCGCCCATGGCGAGCAATAACACGGCCAGCATCGCACAAGCCAGGAAGCTGGTGGAACAGCTGAAGATGGAAGCCAACATCGACAGGATAAAGGTGAGCAGACACACAGGAAGGAGGTTTTAAAAACTGATCTGATTTGAAGGTCCAGTGTGTAACATTTTAGAGGATTAATTGGCTGGAATTGGAATATAATATTAATATTTTAATTTGTGTATAATCACTTGAATATAGGAATCGTTGTGTTTTTGGACACGCTGGACTTTTACAGGAATAATTTTTACATTTGGGGGATTAATCACTTTCTTTCCAAGGTTTAGAGTAGAAGATTTATACCACTTTCATGTCCGTCTGTTAAATGTGTAGCTGGAATCAACAGCAAAGCTTAGCTTAGCATACAGGTTGAAGAATCAGAGGTGGGACTTAACAGAGTACAGATATATTTACTGTTACTGTACTTTAGAAGTTCTTTCATCTGTACTGTACTTTGAGCATTTATTTTTCTGACAACTTTTTACTTTAACCTCCTACATTTTTACACAAATATCTGTATTTTCTACCTCTTACATAATAAAAACAGGCTTATTAATTTAGTTTTGCATCATTGCACAGCTTCTTAAAATCAAGATCATGACAGATGTGACAGGAGAAGAAGTTCCTCTACTTTTACAGGAGTCTTGTACTTTTTGTCCTCTCTACGTAAAACCAACTACTTGCTTTCCGCTCTTGTGTCCATGTGATACTGGATACTGGAAACTGGAACAGAGGCAAACAGCTAACCTTAACTCTGTCCAGAATCCAAAAATACATCTTCCATCCATCGGTTAAATATGCAGCTGGAGCCAGCAGGTGGTTAGCTTAGCTTAGCATAAAGACTTCAAACAGGGGGAAACAGCTAGCCTACCAACACCTGTAGAGCTCATTTATTTATTTTACTTGTTATATGTTGTTTGTTTAATCCGTACAAAAACATATGTGTAAAACCAACTATTCCCTGTTTACAGTCTTTATGCTAAGCTAAGATAGCGGCTGCTACACACATTAGAGTGGTATCAATCCTCTTATGTAACTCATGTAAATGTGTTATAAGTTTATTTCCCAGAATGTCAAACTACTTCTTTAGCCTAACCTCTGCATCATGTATCTCCTCGTATACTGACGTGTTTGTGTGTGTCTGTTTGATTCCAGGTGTCCAAAGCGGCGGCAGACTTAATGTCGTACTGCGAAGCTCATGCCAAAGAGGACCCTCTGTTATCGCCGGTGCCAGCGTCGGAGAACCCGTTCAGGGAGAAGAAGTTCTTCTGTGCCATCCTGTAAACTCGGCATGGCCCTTCAGCAGTCTGCTCAGTGTGGGACTTTGAACGTGGACGTTCAAAATACGTAGAAAATCTTCTAGTCGGAGGGCATGGCGATTATTGCCCACCCCCCTTTCTCGAATGGCACCTAGAGAGTGCGAAAATTTAAAAACCCACAGAGTTTACATGTAACTATTAAAGGGGTTGTGATTGCTTTTTTTAGAGGGGGTGTTGCAGCATGTTGAAGGGGGGTCTGTGCTTTTAGATGACGCAAAAGGGGGATGATGATTATGATGATGAGGAGTACGATGATAAACCCAGAGACGTGACGGACAACCAGTCAACCTACCGAGTCTTCAGGTTGTGATGTGTACAAAACAAAAACAAACAAAAAAAAATATATAGATAAAATGAGAATATAAATATTTTGTGGTTCTTTTTGGGACTTCCAAATGTTCTGTTAAATGGTTTTCGTGGTCGGGTCGAGCATCGTAGGACAGCAAACACACATACGCCTACCACTAGACGCCACCTGATTATTGGAATGATTTCTTTTTTTAAGTTGTTGTTTATGTTTATTTCAACTAAACCTTTCACCTAGATATCTTTCTATAACTGTACGTGATTACTGAAACTGCTCATTTTCTTACAACAGGTTAGTGAAAGCTTTTTTAATGGGATGTTTGAAACATTCGACTCTGTGATTCTCTTTGCAAAATACCGGTCTGAAAAAAAATCAGTCTCTGTGTATCAACATCTATCTGGCAAATGTGATGCAGTTTGTCTCCTTCAGATACAAACCCTCTTTCTACTATTTGTATAAAATGACTAGCAAGTAAACTGTGCTGTGCTGTGAGTTGCTGAATGTTTGTGTTTGTATCATTAACTATTGCATGAAGTGGACAGACGGTCTTCTCTATTTTCCTTTCATGTCGAGATTGTATGAAACGAGGGCGGCCTCCATCTGGAAGTGCCAAAACATATTAAAACAAGAATGATTCAATACGGACTCAACAAGGACATCTCTCACATCAGTGTTTCCCATTAATTACTTAGGGCGTTTTGACACATACCTCTTTTGGTCCGGACCTTCGGACTTTTCAGTTTGGTCCAAACCAAAATTGTAGGTGAGAAAGGTGCCATGGACCACGGTCCGGATCAAAAGACCAAAATTTGGTCCGAACTAAAGAGGTGGTCTCGGTCCGGATCAAACTGAACCATGGTTCGGTTCGTTTACAGTATGAAAACATTTTTTGGATGGTTCGGACTTTCGGACCAATTACAGGAAGTTAGGCATACGTACCATAGAAGAAGAAGGAAAAAAAACGGAAGAAAACCCCCGCTAGAACAAGCAAAAATGAGTCGTGGAAGTACGTGGGGAGAGGAGGAGATTATATGTTTAATTTAAATTTGGACAGACGAAAACATTAAAAGTCAGTCATAAATGCCAACATTTACAAAACATTTTCTGAGCGGATGAAAGAGAGATGGTACGTATTTTGCACTACGAGAACAAACATTTCTCGCAAGTATTGTGCTTGCAGTTGGTGCTGACGTTGTTGCTGCTGGTAGTAATACCATAATAACGCAATTGGGATTTACTCATTCATTTTCATTCATACGGAAAAGACTACCTGCCAAAATGACAACACGCCAATGTCAGATGCATGCCCGTCACACGCCGTAGCTATGTCATGGAAAGTTCTTTAGTGTGCTGGCAAAATTACTATGTGAAACCGAAAATAACGGGATCAGATGTATACAATTAAACACGAACGTTGGTCCGGACCTCTGGTGGGTGGTGGGCAACCGCTTGTTGAGCTGGTAGTAGATGGAAGACAGGATAGTCTCCAGCCGCGACACATTGATCTCAGCGTAGTGGTCCAGTGTGTTGAGCCCGTTGTCACGAAAGGCCCGCCACGGTCTAATTTGTCCCGCCACAGCCTCAGAATGAACCGAAAGAAATTCTTACACTTCTCATAATAACACAAAAGATCCGTAACTTGTGTTTCGCGCCACTGCTTCAGCAAAGCATCTCTCACTTCCAGTCAGTCGGCTCTGCCCCAGTCCCCCCCCTTGCTGAACGCAGCGCACGCACACTCATACACACACACACACACACACGCGTATGCACTGGAATATATAATGTTACCTGACAGCATCCGAGACGTCAAGGCATTTTAGGACACCACGTCGTTTGAGGTAAGAAACGTTAACAAACTTTACAGTATCCACTAGTTCAAACCCAATTTTATCCTGATCAATGTACGACAGCAAACAGATAACGTTACTGCAAAAGTTTATTATTGATAATTGACGTTAACGTTCGTTGGCTAGCAATGTTAGCTCTGTCAGTCTCGATTATGTCGACTGATATATAAAAAGTATGTAACGTTATATCTAGCTAGCTAACGTTAGCTAATTATCTAACGTGAATGTTATTACCAGAGACGGTTCAGAAAGTATAAATGTATATATCAGTGTTTCTCACTGATTTTGTGAGACTATGGTGGGTGGAAGATTTTTTTTTTACATTTTAAAGTTAAATGCATCCATCTGGTGCACTTTGAAAGCAAAATTAAGAGGCTAGATCCATGAAGAACTGTGTGCTCTTGTAAACAATTTAATCATAAACACATTGGTTGTATAGACACAGGTGGTGAAAACACAAAATCAACTAGAGGATACATCTGAGCCATCAAAGAAATTAAGCAAACGTGGTTACCTGTGTTGAACTAGTTTATTTTTTAGAAAATAAAATAATAAATAATTAATCCCTACATCCCTATTTGCAAACTTTGCACCCCGAATTTGGACATTTAATAGTCCTGGTCTTTGAGAAAAACAGTTCTAATGCCCTTTGGTAATTAAATGCCTCTTGACTCAGCCCATTGATGGAGACCCTCAGGCAGGCAGGCAGTTGCTCTCCTTGCAGCCTGTTACGAAGGTCTGATTTGACCTGAAAATGAAGGTAACTACAATTAGCCAAATGAATGAAAATATTTTGAGCACACTGCTCTTTTGGTTAAGAAGAGTATGCAGTTGATCATGTAAGTGCAATGGGTTAAATGTTTGGCACACATCTCAGCAACATATTGCCATGCCCTCTGTCCTTACCCTGTTCATTGTGGAGAAGTCTCTCTCACAGTTGACACTTGACACCGGAATGACAAGTGCAATTGCTGCCAAACGGCTGAGTAATGGGTATATCTGTCCCCATTCATTGCACTCACTGGCTAGCAGGGTCATTATTTCGGCCTGGTTCTCGTCCTAGGGAAATAATGTTAAAACGATGTTAATTTACCTTTTTTAAATTAATCAAGGTGCGTCTGCAGGTTAAATTGAATAATTTTTAAGACTTTAAACTCTTAAAAGACCAAATATAAAGAAATTTGAGACAGAGTACTGGGATTTGCTTGGATTTCTCTTTACAGGGTTAAGTATGACAGGTAAGTATAAAGCTAAGTGTATTAGGTTCAGTTTAGTGATAAGCATTAGGTAGATTTGGGGATTTGTAGGCTATCAAAACTTTTGATCCTGCTCTGAATGACAAATTCTGACAAAAAGATAAATTAATACATAAAATGAGATATAATGTTTATGTTGAGGATCGCTGTGCAATATATCAGTATCATTAATCCACCTTGAATGCCCCTCCTCCACACATGTGCTCTTTGAAGGACTGCCACTCCTGGAATATCAAGGTCTCCTTTCCAGGAAGAAACCTTTTTGCCAGGGTATGAAGGTGGGTGTTTTTCTCTTCATCAGCTAGGGCAGCTGCCTGTGGTCCCAAAACGCTGAAGGCCCCAATTCAATTCAATTCAATTTTATTTGTGTAGCGCCAATTCTTAACAGAAGTTATCTCAGGACACTTTTCAAATAGAGTAGGTCTAGACCGAACTCTTTAAAACATTATTTACAGAGACCCAACAGTACCACCATGAGCAAGCACTTGGCGACAAGGGCAAGGAAAAACTGCCTGTTAAAAGGCAGAAACCTAGGACAGATCCTTCGGCTCTAGGTGGGTGGTCGTCTGTCTCGACCAGTTGGGGTGAGAGAGAGAAAGAGAGACAGACAGACAGACAGACAGACAGGTGCACAGCAACAACAGTATTGGCAATGGCAATCTAGCAGGACCATGGCAGGAGGCTCCACCAGGATCGATAAGAACCTGCGAGACGAAAAAGCACAAGAACTCCGGGGAAGAAGTGAAGTTAGTAACATGCATTAATGGGACATGAATGAGTGCAGAAAGAGAGAGGAAGAGAGGAGCTCAGTGCACCATAGGAAATCCCCCGATAGTCTAGGCCTATAGCAGCATAACTAAGGGATGGTTCAGGACTCACCTGATCCAGCCCTAACTATAAGCTTTATCAAAGAGGAATGTCTTAAGCCTACTGTTGAATGTGGAGATGGTGTCTGCCTCCCGAACCACAACTGGAAGCTGGTTCCACAGGAGAGGAGCTTGGTAACTGAAGGCTCTGGCTCCTGTTCTACTTTTAGAGACTATAGGAACCACAAGTAGCTCAGCATTCAGAGAACGTAGTGTTCTAGAGGGGTAATAGGGTACTATGAGCTCTTTAAGATATGAAGGGGCCTGAAGAGCTTTATAGGTGAGGAGGAGGATTTTAAATTCTATTCTACATTTTACAGGGAGGCAGTGCAGAGAAGCTATTAATGATATTAAGATTCTGGAATCTCCTTTCTAGGTGGTGTATCAGGCCACTGATGTAAGGACTGGCAACCTAAAATTAGCAGAAAAGAAAAGTAAAACCCCCAAATTCTTCAAACAGCAGTCAATCTAAGGCACTCTTCCAAGGATTTAAAATGCCTTCATTGAAAAAGGCATGTTCAAATTAACAAGTTTAACACCAGACTCCGATGCGAGTTAGAGTTTGGCATTGTATTTACTACTCCCTTATGAAGGCATGCTGGCCGAAATCTGGTTTTAACATGCGATTTAAATGAAGGCATTTTAGTTCACTGGAAAAGTGCCTTGGATTCTCTTTTGCTGTTTGAAACTATGGAACCACAAACCAAAGAGCACCTTCAATCTAAGACCCAACACACTTCTAATCTGGGGGGGAAAAAACCCTAAAACATTTACCTCTCTCACAAATTTTGTCCAGTGCTCCTCCCGTGGCAGGTCCTTAACACCCTGTCCTCTCCTGTTCCTCTCCTCCTCATGATGGATCGTGAAGGCTCCGAGTGCAAGGGGCTCATCAAGATCTTGGTGGAGATGGGACAGGAAGGACCCAGGGAGCAGAGTCTCACCTGCATGCTTGATGCGTCTGAGGGTCTCAATTGTTATGGGAACCTAAAATTAAAGAGATTTTAGTGTTGGCATCAGATTGCTGTAAATATAACCTTACAGTATAATGTCTTCAATGGTAACCAACAGTATCATAGAAAGACATAACATAAACATAAACTCTATAATATTATAAACTAATCATATCACGCCTGCTCCTTGATGTGAAGGAAGTTGACATTTGCCTGTTGGAAGACTTTTGAAAGCCGTGTTAGATGTGGCAATATGTCAGCCTGGAGGTACACCGATGCCACAAACCTGTAGGTCGCACAAAAGGTATACAGGCCCTTGGCGATTGGACATCGTTTAAGCTCTGCCTCCTCTGCCAATGTGACAAGCACAGCTGTGAGATTCCTTGGGAGTATCTCAATGGCCAGGTGCTGAGATAGCCACCTTGTGTCTTTTACCTCCTGGAAATAATAAACCAGTGTTATGTTAAGTATAGACTTACAATACTGGTTAGTACTGATTGGATGGGAAATACCAACTGTGAATGATATGTAATAAATAATATACCTTCATCTTCAAGTCAGACAGTCCCAGGGTGCTAGCCGCTGCCTTCAGTGCTGCTGTCTGGTTTGCACTGTGATGGAAGAACAAGTGTAGTTCCTGCAGGTGGTCCCGGAAGGTCGCCTTGTATTTCACATCATTTGATGCGTCCTTACAGGCCAGGCCAGGGCAAGGCGGTGGGCGGCACAGGCCACGGCAACGATCATGGGGAAGCTGTCGGTCAGCTGCTTAGCGACCCCATTTACACGCCCTGTGTTTACATGTCAAATAACACAACAAGGCAAATTACACATACATTTCTTTCTTAAAAACACACTAAGATGGAATAGTGAAAGGATCATACCCGCCATAACAGCTGCCCCATCAGTGCCAAGCCAACAGAGTTTCTCTGTTGGTACCTGCTTGTTCTGCAGGACAGCTTTCACAGCAGTGACAATGGTATCAGCCTTGCCATCACTGACTGTCACGATGTCGAGGAACTGGTTAAAAACCAGTCCCTCTTTATCCAGGTATCTGAATGAAACAAAAACCGCAATAAGTATAGCATGATAAGGGGTTTGAAGAAAACTCAAAAAAGAAGGAAAACAGGAATCTTAATTAAATAAAAAAAGTATTCCTGATAAAGCAGGAAGAATCACATCCCTGATAATGTTATTCACGCCTTTACTAGCTTCTATTACTCCAAATACAGTAGAACCAGGGTATGCATCTCATTAATTATTCGATGAGAGCGGCAGTTGTTCCTGCGATCAATCTTGAAATCAGAAAATGAAAAAATGCGATACTTTTTTCACTGGGAAAGAATTATGAACTTTACATCAACGTATAAGGGCTGAACGAATTCAAGTTTGTAATATTTGCACAAGTGTTTACTTTAAGCTTGAGGAAATAGTCACAGCCCAGGAGCTGGGCCAAGCTTAGCAGCTTGCCGTAGTTGGTGAGGTGGGCTATCTCATTTTTGACCAACCAATACAGGCACTTGAACCCCCCAATTACAGCTTCATGCTCCATAATGATGACAGGCTCGAAGGCATGCATGACAGAGTATCCTGCACAAAAAAACAAAGATTAAGTGACAACTAATTCCAGCCTCCCTGAACACTACCCATTCAACCACATCAGAAACTTGTGGGATTGTGATTTGAATAGGTTGATGATGTGACTGGAGTGACTTTACTTATAATCCTTGATAACTTTAAATTCTCTCCTAGAATTAAAAATAAAGCAGTCTGGCTTTGATTAGAGTTTGGTTGCACAATACAAGTCAGTAAAAATGGATAAAGTTATGGGTCTGGCAGTTAAATCTTCTACTTTACAAGCACTTTCACTTTCTAGAAAGAGCCATGTTGTTTCAGGAGGTGGTACGCCCTCTACAGGCATGTAAATGAAACTGCATGAATGATACATTGTGACATTATTGCTATTATATTGGTTTGTAACAGATAAGAAGAACAAATATGAGACAAATATTAGACGTGAAGACTTCTGCATCATTGCTATATCCTTTATCACTGAAAGCAAAACTGGTGGTTGGTTCATTTACATTTATTGTTGATTCTACACAGCAGAAACACACACAAAGGTTTTAACCAAATTAATAAAAGATGATCATTACAAACTACAAATACAACATATATGCAGTGTTGTGGTAGTGCACGGAGAAGTAGGTATACTTTTAATTTATGCCTCAATTTCTTTTTGAAGAGGCCCGTCCAGTCTCATAAACAATGACATATAACTACTCTTGCATATTTATTTCACACAGACATGGGCCAGTAATATTTGCACAGTCACTTACTTTTGCTGCTTAACTTCAGGCAGTAAATACTCCTAATGAAATAAATAGTAGCCACAGATGAGGTGCAGATTTTCCACAGATGGCTGAGACACCTGCAGAATTGTGCAAGTATTCCTCATGAAAATTGGACGACTATGTCATGCCTTTGCCATCCTAGAAAGAAAAAAAAAAACCAACAGCTTCCAGAACACTAAAGCGGGGTTTACCCAATGCCGACTGAAAGATAAATGGTCATATGCGATACACTTGCGCTAGAGCACTGCACATAAACAGCAAGCATTTGCAGCGTAAACGACGAGAAAACGTTGCTGTCAGAAGTGGGATTCGAACCCACGCCTCCAGAGGAGACTGCGACCTGAACGCAGCGCCTTAGACCGCTCGGCCATCCTGACGTAGCGCATCCACGTCATATACAACTTATCTATTGTTACTGCCGACAAAGGTACTTTGTTGTTGTGACAAAGTTCAACGTCCGTGTAGTAAAATGTCTCCTGAGTGGTTACAGAGCCGCAGCTCTTCACGGAGCCGCTGATGTATAATGACAGCTGCACTGCCGCACCTAGCCCCGCAGCAGCTAGCGGTGTTTATATAAGTGTTTGTACTGTTACGGTAAGGTCGTTAACTCTAGTTGGCAGGCGGACATCATTCACCGCAAGAGGGGAAAACTGTGAGTAAAACGAGAGAGCATTGATATATCTGTGTTCAATAACAGACAACAGGCTAATGGCTAACGTTAGCTGGAGTGGCTCGCATTTGAAACGTACGAGCTGACTAACTAACTAGCGGGTATGAATGGGACCATTTATGTTATGTTAGTCAGCTTTTAAGTTTCTCGACACATTAAACTTAAACTAGAGGCTACACTCTTGTCCTTTCCTCTGCTAATCTTTGTGTAAAAACTAGGTGGAGTCTGGTGAGGCCTAGAGTGTATTTTCACATCAGGCCTGCGACTTTTATTGTGTTGAAATATGTACTGTTGTTAAACTAATCCCCCTCTGACAGACACTGAGCTATCTGGTTCATCCAGTATGCTGATGTTGTCTAGACAAACAGTATGAGGCTGTCAGACACTGTTTAATCTGTGCACTTACTCACAGTCCCTTAAACCGATTCACCTGAATTATTCAGTTTATTTATTGATTTGCACAATAACACATAATAAAAAATGCACACATATAGAAAAGTGTAGTTACAGTGCATTAGAGGCTTAATCAGAATCCTTTCTGTTTTAGTGAAATAAAAATAAACAAACAAAAGAAGCAAACAAAAGAAGCAAATAAAGCACATAGCATGAACAGGCATTAATGCATCATTAAATAAATATATGAAATGTATCGTGTATCATTGACCTTGTCTGTGGACAGTGATGAGTATTTTCTAAACAGAGGTGCAGATGAATGTCATCTATTTGAATGGGAAATCATTTTCAACATATAGGAAAGCTAATATTTACTGAAAATGTTATTTATAATGCCCTGATGCCTTGTTTTTATATTTATGTGAATGATTTTAGTACAACATATGTGATATGACTGCTTAAATGTAAAGTTAACTGCTTTTAATGTATGTTTAATGTAAAACATGTCTTGAATAAAGTGGTGCACGTCTTTCTCTCCTCAGTCCGACAAGCATGGCCTCCACTTCGCCACACAACTTCTCCTGGGTCGAACCGGGCAAACTGGCCGGACTGGCATTGCCCAGGATGACATGTGAATACCAGTACCTGCTGGACAACGGTATCAAACACCTGGTTTGCCTGTGTGAGAGAAAACCGCCTTACCACGACTCGTGTCCAGAGTTGCAGCTGCACCACATCAAGATAGCCGACTTTACTCCTCCTTCACCGAGTCAGATTGACAGATTCCTCTCTATCGTGGAAGAGGCCAACTCAAAGGGGGAGGTAAGAACTCAGATACTTGATAGGCTGTGCTTGATGGATGGTTACACTTATAAAGTGCTTTCAGGACTCTCCAGGGTTGAGTCTAGTGTTGTATGCAGACTCGCAAGCCACAAGCACTGTAACCGAATATATCTGGCATAGGTTTACTGTATTTTGGCGAAACCCCCTGGCACAGTGGAAAGGAAAAACTCTCTTGCAGCTCCTCCAGCCTTTGTCAGAGTATGGGATTCAGTACTATGTATTAAATTGTTTTAATTTTCACAAAGGCTATCAGCAGTAAGGTTTTTACTAAAGCTTACTCTGTTGCTTCTCTGTTTTTATTCTTCCAGTAGTCAGACATGGTCACTATCCAGGTGCTTGCAAAAAAGGGTTGCATATGACAATAATTATTATTTCTTTTAATTAAAGATTATTTTATTGTTGCTTAGTCTGCTGATTATTACGGCAATTCATCATTTGTTCTGTAAAATGTCAGAAAGTAGTGATAATTACTTTAGTAAACCAGACAAATACACCAACAAAAAGGAGCGAACTACTGTCTGCTCTGTAGTCGGGCTGCACAAATAATGGAACAAAAATCAGCTCCACTTACAAAACTTACACTGCTGTGCTACAGACCATTTAACAAAATAAATACTGTATTGTTCTTCTTCAGGGCGTGGGAGTTCACTGTATGCACGGACACGGGAGAACAGGGACCATGCTGGCCTGCTACCTGGTGAAGACGAGGAAGTTGTCGGGGATCGACGCCATCAACGAGATCCGCAGACTGCGACGAGGCTCCATTGAAACCCACGAACAAGAGAAAGCTGTGGTGCAGTTTTATCAGCGCACAAAGTAGCGTAAAGGAACAGAAGCAGACGTACCAGTGGGTTTTTACTGTTAATAAGTAAATACAATTATAAGGTGGAAGAAGTGCCTTGATTATACTGCTAAATTAAAACTTTATTATGTTGGAGTTGGAAATACAAGACTGAATCTTTAAACAATACTGAACCCAACATTGACATTACTCACAGTCTGAGCTTGGGACATTTCACCAAAACAAACATTTCTACTGTAAATACATACGCACGCTGCCTTTTTACATGGTACTGTATACTGTCATTTTGCCAGCACATCATTACTTTAGTTTATGTCGATAAAGAAGACATGTTCCTCCTCTGACAGGGTTCCCACGTGTTCTGGAAAATCTGGAAAACCTGGAAATTTAGAGACTAGTTTTCCAGTCATGCAAACACCTGGAAATTGATTAAAATGACCCAAGTATCCTGGAAAATTATCTATGTTGTCCTGGAAAATTCATTTCAAAACTCATTACAAATCAGATTACATAAACCTGGGTGTGTATTTTGTTTGAAACTCTACTGTTGGCTGGATAAGCTGCGCGCTATGACACTTCAGAGCTAGTTTACCAGAAGCAAATCGGGAAAAATGCTTTTCAATGTCAGTCAAAAGCCGTTTACACCACTTGCAGCAAACTTTTGGCGTAAAGTCTATTTTAGAAATGTGTTGTTTTGGTTGCTAATTGTTAATTGTACGTGCAAAGAACACTTATACTTTCTACCTTTTCTTTGAATAAGCTAGAAGATTCATTTTCTGTAAAACAGAATAAACTCTACAGGATTTGAATTGTTATCTGTGGTCTGCTGAGGCCTCAGCGGAAAAAAATCGGCTGTGGTGAGAACAGCCAAGCACGCCACATAAGCTAACGAGTTGGAACCCTGTCTGAGGCTTTACAAGGCTTCATTTATGCAGTGGACGGCAGAGAAAAGAGACGCTGACGCTCCTTGAATGTGAGCTTTTCAGGAGCCGACGCTCTCTTGATTTTCTCCTCCTGGTTTCTGTGAATAAACAATGATATTAGCAGGAATACTTGAATTGTATTAATGGGGACACAATAATGGGGCCTGTGCTGTTTTAAGATATATTTAAAGAGCATAGTCTGCAGATTAATTTTACTCAGGGAGGTCTCTCAAACACTTTTTGGAATAATTAAATTCCAATAATGTCTGACTGTTTTAAAAAGTGCAATAGACTAAATGAAGCTTCTTGTTGAGATAGTAAACAACTGTGCATGGAGCAAACTCACCCTTTTGAAGCAATGTTGTTAATGTCTTGACTCGGTCCACTTGGTCTTTGACCTGCCCAAAAACATGGAGATGTTGTAATGTGTAATAAAATAATATGTCTGACAAGCACAGACTCGTTTTAATAAAGATAACTGACAACAAAATACATAATTTTCGTAATAATGTTTTAGTGAACAATTACCTGTTTTTGCTTTGTCTTCCTTTTCCAACTCTTTCAATTCAGTGTTGATGTTCCCAGCAGAGCTTCTCCTGGTCTAAAGATGGAGAGGAGACAATTAGATAAAGGTTATTGTGGCGTTTTAAATATCAGCTTCATTAAAAAAAATCTATTGGTAGAAGTACTTTTGTTGATGAAGGTTAAGACAATTTTAACATTTTCTGACATGTTTACTTACGTAGCTTATTAATAAAATCTTAAGTATTTTCATGAAGTAAACTTGTGTCATATATTTATAATGCATTACAACACTTCCCATTTAGGTTACAATTATTCCGTAATTTTAAGCAGACGCACTCACTTTATTAAGTATTTCAAGAGCAAGCAGGAACATTTATATTTACTCGTAAAAAAAATAGAATCATGGAGTAATCGTTAATAGACAGTGTTTAAGTATAACCCATATGATATGAACCATATCAGTGTCCCAAGACCTTATAAACATGTTTTATTATGTGTTGTAGGCAGAGTCATAACGTCCCATAATCATACAATTAATAGTGAGTATAGTATTTGCATTATAATAAAGTATTTAGTAGAAAGAAAGGAAAAAGTAGAAAAAATCCCCCCTGTGTGCTTTTGTTCTGTTAAATATCTTTAATATGTGATCTTGTACCCTTCTTTATGTACCCACTTTCCTACAACCTACTTAATCTACTTAAGCTACTGATTTCCTACATTTCCCAGAATGCCATTTGGCAACATCAGAATTTCTTTAGGTTTGTGCCGCACCTGTGTTCTTTTCTCCAGCTGCTGTATCGTCAGCATCATGTCCAAATCCTCGTCTTCCTCGTCATCCTCGTCCTCTCCTCTCTGCTGGATCTCCTGCAGCCTCTTCTGAAACTGCCACTCCAGGCTGAGCTTTCGGAGCCGCTCACTCTCCTCCGCCGTGCGCTTCGCTTTAGCCTGGAGATCCTGCACCTCCTGCCCCAGGAGCTGCACCACATGAAGCCTCTGCTGCTTCTCCAGCTTCTCCTGGGCCTCCCTCCTCCACGGATCAGACAGCTGCTGAAGGTCTCTTTGCTTTGCAGGGCCCGAGCCCTGCTTCTGCTGAGTGGGAGGCTCTTGGAAGGAGACATGTTTCGTTGGAGTGATGCTCACTTGGGGTTTTGCTGCCTGATCCCTGTGTGTTTTGGGTCTTTGCTGCTGTGACAGAAGTGAGGGTTGAGGTAGCTTCTTGGTTGCAGGAGGGGGACACGCGTAAATATGATGAGCTTGACTCTTTACTTTAAGGGTTTGGCTCATCCTCGCTGCCAGCAAGGATGAGCTCTGGAAGGTAGTGAGTGGAGGATTTGTCTGTGTGTTCAGTGCTCTGGTTACAGGGATGTCTATGCGCGTTGGCTGGATCGGAGGCGTTGGAGTTGGATGTTGTGAAAAAGGAGTTCTCCAGACACCGGCGCCACTCGTACGGCTGCCCTGCTGTCGCTTTGTGGGAGAACAACTGTCTGAGAGCATATCATGAGTAGAAACACTCGAGCGAATTGGGAAAGATGAATAGTGGCTCATGGTTTGCTTTGCACGCTGGTCATTCTGCCTTTTGTCCAGCAGGGGGCCTCCACTGTCCATGCACAGGTTCTCCTGTGACAGAGCTTGGCGCTAGAAGGAGAAATATAGAGATTATATAGTGTATATATATATATATAGTATCATTTTAGAAACAATGGACCTTTTTCACAGCAGCCATTTTGACATGAAATAGTAGGGTAAACACAGGTGTTACTGATTATACTAATTAAAGCTTCATTCTATTTAGTGCAGCAGAGACTTTCCAGTGAGCCAACATGCACAACAGCAGCACTGTGACTCTGTTGGACCTGAATGGAGCAGAGCCTTAATTAAAATCATTGGTAACACCTGTATTTACCCTACCATTTCATGTCAAAATGGCTGCTGTGAAAATGGTCTAAAAAGTACTCACATCTTTTAATTAACTAAAAATGCCAGTACAACAATATAAACGTCCTGTACTTTAAAAATATACAAATTATCAGCAAATATGTACTTAGTGCCGTAGTAGCACAGTTGGGTAATTTGATCCAGTGGTTCCACTTCAGTGGACATCAGATGATTGATGGTTCTACTACACAGATTTGTATTCATATTGTAGACTTTTCTCTAATCTTTGCTTTATTGTAAAATATTGGATAATTATATTATTAAATTATTATTAAATAACAGTTTTTAAGGTGAATCCATCTGAGCAGACTGCTACCAACAGGAGAAGGGACACTGCTTCTTTTTAAGAGGTTTCAAGCCAAAAACCGTATGTTTTTTTTTATGTATAATCTTTATCTGAGTAACTAAAAAGTAACTAGTAACTTTATTTTATATTATAAAAAGTACAATTCTTTATTTTTATGACTTATAAATCAAAATTTTTTTTTTCCTGAGAAGAATAAATGGAACTATATCTAAGTACAACCCTGTGTTGCAAATTACAATAAAATAAACTTAAATCTTTTAATATAAAGTAGCATAAAGTGCACTCAAGAATGTAGAAAGTACAGTACTTGAGTAAATGTCACTTCCTACAACTGTGAACAATAGTTTCTTTGTTTACTGCTGATTAAAGGTCCAGTGTGTAGGATTTAGTGGAAAAACTACAGCGTCCGCAGCATCTATAGATATAAAAGGCTCATTCTAAGTTAACAAAAACACAACAATTCCTATATTCAGGTGATTATACACTAATAAAAACGTGGTTATACATATTATATTCCATTTCTGCCAATAGATGGACCTTTAAGACTTTCTGTAAAGACTTACCATGAAGGTCCTCTTATTTGAGCTCTGTCCATCTAAAGGCTTCACAGACACTTTGACTGTTTGCTGTGGTCGACTGGATTCAGAGAGGTTCTTGTGCTGGGATTTAGGGGTCGGAAGTGTCAAGTATTCCCTGTGATATGTCTGAATACAGGCATAGAAAGCAAGCAAAACAGGGTGATTTTGTGACATAAATTCGGTACATTCTTGTAACTGTATAGCAGCTTCCTTCCAGTCTTGGTATGGAGCTGACATTGCTCTTTTTAGGGACTGAAGATTGTACAAATGTTAAAGGAATAAGTCTCACATCGGCACAAAGGTTGATACTGGAGACAGCAGCCATGTTGTTCCCTCTCGCCACAGGGTCAACTGGTTCATCTCCATCCTCGGGGGCAAAATCTGCATATAAATACACTGGAGTTGTTCTTATGACTCAACCTCAAGCATTAAACATACAGCAAACACTGCCCGGCAGCGCTAAGTGATTAAAATAGAAGAGCGCTCACTGGTCATATTGGGGTTGGAGCGATAAAGTTGTCTGTTTCTCTGCATTATCTGGTCTCTCCGCCTCCTGCTGCTTCCATGAAGCTGTTCTGACGGACCAGGATCCACAACACTGTACAGCACCAGTGCTTTATCGCTTGAATTAGCATGACTTTTATCACCTTATGAAGCAAGAAAAGATTTTAATTAGGTCACGAAGAGCAGAGACGGTGAAATAAAAAACAATGGTTTAACTTTTGTAGTGTGTTTACCTGTATTCCCTGAGGTTGGCTCACTCAGTAGACAGCCCAGGCCGTGGTAGCTCGCTCCAAACTTTGCAACCTGTAAGGTCACAACGGGGCCAGTTTGCATCATGATAGCTGCTGCCCTAAATCAATATAAGATCAATAAGGTCATTACCTTGTTAGTAAAGCAAACTTTTAAACTGTGAGAGCACTGTATAGCCATAGTTTCTTCCTTATCACTGGACAAAAAGGGAGCTGTACCTGGAAAGATCCAATGGTATCCAAATCTGTAGTATATCATATCATCATATCATATAAAAATAAAATATGTCAGTAATCTTCTGGATACATACAGCATCTGTCCGTATCCAAACATATCACCACCTTGGATACTACCGTATTTATTCCAGTGTATCTTAATCTGAGTGTAAAACACATAACTGTTGAATGAGTGTTGAAGGTAAAGATTACGCTGCTATCACCTGTTGGCTATTTGAAAACTTATTTTGTATTTGTATCAGACAGAATTGACCTTTCCTAAGTCCTGCCCCCCCTTTTTGTTCTGTGCTCCAACCTCGGTCATATAAAACTGTTATATACTACATTCACATCTTGTCAAATGTTAGCGAATTCTAAAGTTACAAGCATGTACACAGTTTACAGGCAGTCCAACCAAATATTGAGATATTTCAGTTGTAAGGTGGTGTAACAACTAACAGACTGACGACGCCATTCCTAAACACATAGATTTCCCAACCAATTGTATAACAGGCTGTTATGTGGCTACCTTTCTTGGCTGAGGCCGAGCAGGCTTTGACCATCCACACTCAGCAGCTGATCCCCAGCTGTTAACCTGCCGTTCTGCACAAAGTAGAGACACAAGAGATTTTATCAATTATTTGAACCTTTCTCCGTTCAATTTCATTAAATGTATTGTGTTTACTGCACATCTCAAGTTCAGCTCAATCAAAACTGTGTCGGATCTCACCATTTCAGCCGGCCCTCCCTTGACAACAGACTTGATGTAAATCCCGAGGTTACCTTGACCTGCTCCCTGTGGCAAAACAAGAGGGAGGACGTTAATTAGCTGAGACGTTCAGCAGATAGTTTTCATGTTTAAATAGTTCCAGTTTGTGAACACGTCAGAATTAGGAAAAATCACCTTGGCAGCCACGATGCTGACCCCCATCCCACTGTTGAGAGGTTTGTTCAGTGTGATCGTCACAACCTCTGGCTCTCTGTGTGCTGCCTATTGAGGATGGATATAATGGAAGTCAAAATATACGTATGTGTTATGTTTAAATTAAATTATATTTCCAATGCATCTGGAACCTGCTTACCAAGTATGTTCTGTCTGCTGAGGAAGTTGGTTCTCTGAAGTACACTTTCCAGTCGCCTCTGGAGTTCGGCTGGGATGTTAAAGAGCAGAGACCTG